TGCCGCAGCCACGCGCGCTTCTCCCCGGGCATGAGCAGCCGGTCCTTGAAGAAGAGGGCCCCCGTCTCGACGTAGCCCGGGTCATGGAACAGGTCCGCCGGGCTGGTGAGGAACAGTGCGTCCGCGTCGATGAAGATCGCTTCGCGGAAGCTGGAGAGCAGGATCGCAAACGGTTTGGCCGCCCAGCCGCGCAGCGTCCAGCCTTCGTCCTGCACCATTGGTGATAGGTCGCGTGTGATGACGTCGGGGACCGCTTGCAGGGCGTCGCGGGCGTCTTCGCCCAGGTCGTCGTCGCCGAGGTACATGATTTCCACCGGGAGGGTGCAGCCTTGTTGCCGGAGGGATTGCAGGGAGGTTAGGACGTAGGGTGCTTGTTTGTTGCCCGCGGTCAGGACGAGGCCTCTTCCGCCGTGGTGGAATTGCGTGTGTAGAGTGGCGTGTGAGGGGAAGTAGGGGGTTGTCCAGTCGAAGAGGCGCGTGGAGAGCTGGGTGTAGAAGGTGCGGAGGGTCTCGTACCTGTGCATTAGGGTTGGGGTGTCGGTTTGGAGGTTGTGGGCGATGGCAGGGTCATTTTGGAGGAGCTGCAGGATGTCATCGCGGGTGAGGGGGCCAGTGGCTGTTGGCACGAGGTGGACGGCTTCCCAGGCGGCGAAGAGGGAGCGGAAGACCCGGGCCCGTAGGCCGAATTCGTGGAGTTTGGTCTCGCCGGTGCTGGTGATGGGGCTCACGAGGTCTTGCGCCTGGATCGGGTCAGGAATGAGGGAGAGGAGGTGGGCGAGGCTCTTGGTGAAGTTTGTGGGGTCGAAGCTGGGGAGGATGTTGCTGGGAGGAGCTGGGCTGGGTAGGGCTAATGGCCTTTGGGAGTGGGGTTGTGCAATTGCAGCGCTTGGGTATTCGCGTCTGTAGATGGGAGAGCTGCAGTGTCCTGAGCGGTATTCCAGGGTGAAGAGGGTTGCTTTGAAGCAATACCCTGCCAGAAGGACGATGAGCAGTGCCCTCGAAAGGATTGAACCCCGGCGGGTTTGGTTGGGGAAATGCGAGAGAGTATACATCGGACTGAGATATTGCGGCCGGGAGTAAGGGGCCAAGTGATGGGCGTTGACAATAACACACAGCTTGAACACCAGACAAGTCTTTTATAGCATATAGCCCGGAGTTAGTTTCGATCGAGGAGCAAACGCCCATGTCCAGCGCATGGTCCTGACGTCGAAGGTTGCCGTATTCATGCTCCAGCATCTCCACCCCGGTCTACATTGGTGACCTTTCTTGGAATCCGCTAAACTTTTAATTTTGAAATCAAATTCTAAAGCGTGACGAGTGAACGACACACCCCAAACACGAGCAATTCCGCACACCCCGTGCCCTGAAACAATTCGTACAATCCCACACGCTCGACCAGTGAACTCACAGCCAAGATTATATACGATCAAGCACCCACACTAAGAAGCGGACGGACCCACAGGTTTCATCTGGAGATCACGATCGGGTGCGAGCCATGGGTCCGTCGTCAGTCCCAGCTCCCTCTTCCTGGGCCCACGGGAGATGGGGACTCTACCCTTACCGGGGTTGAGCTTGCTTTAAGCTCTTTCGTTCGATCGACCGGGGCGTGCCAAGTTAAGTTCGAAGTATGTGGTCGGGATACGGGACGGAGGTGCCAGTGGGAGTGGGCTGGCTCGGCATGGAATTTTGGTCATGTTGAGATTGATTTCTCCTTCTCGCTATTATACCATTCATCTCGGACTATTGCCTGGAACCTTTACTTCCATAAAGCAAATCGTAAGACGAAGATTAAGACTGATTTTGAGGTTCGATTTCCAGATGTTGGTTGCCATGGTACCTGAATCAAAATTACTTTATATGCCATGTTCACAATTCAATGGGGACGACGATGAGATTACGAACCAGCCTTTGTGGTCACAACGACTTTGATTGCATTTTGAGTAATCCAGCGATACCCACCTTGAGAACTCCGATAGTTCAACCAATCCAACCGCCAAGATTTCAAAGAAACACGTTCCAGATAGCCCCCCCTGAGGCCTCGCATTGCTGACACAGTTTCCCAAGTTGATCGATGAGCACACTGACGACGAGCCTTATGTGGACGACTCCGCCTGTATATACAATGGCAGCAAAGCGACGGACGCACTCAAGGTGTGACCTCACAAGCCTCCGCATATTCACAAGAGTCTGTCCTATCTTTCTCCGTTGTCGGTGTCTTCGTGTCAGTGGTAGTTTGACCGATTCATTGAGTGTCAGAATCAGTGGCAAGGTCATCTGACTTTCTTTCACACCACTGAGCGCTGGAGCTTAATCTCGCACAGGAGATCTAGCCTTCGCCATGAAGATCGGTTCGAATGCTAACTCCGGTCAGAATCGCTGTCATGCTACTAACCAAGTCCATCTACACAGCTCAGAGCTTGCCCGAGCTGGGAGAACTATACTTGCACCCCGAATCGGCGCCACACCTCAAGCCTCGAGCTATCGGGAGGTTCACTACATGCTGACACGAGATCAAGGCCGGCCGTCTGGCTCCGACTCGACTTTCTTTTTGGTCTCGACGTATTACGGTGTCGCGGATATTCACCTACCGACGCGGGACCAGACCAGGCCAGAAAAGATAAAAACCGACGGTCGGTCACACCACATAGTCCTGAAAGTTGGCGTCCTCGGGATCGCGATCCAGCAAGAACGCGAACCGACGAGCATTCCGCTTCAGGTACTCGGGCACGTCCGTGACGTGCGCGACCTTCTCGTAGTCCTGGCCCTCGCGGTCGAACAGGTCGAGGCCGTGGCGCACGCGGCGCACGATCTCGCGCGGCTCGACGAACTCGGGCCGGTTGTACTCGGTGTGCGAGAAGCTGCGGATCTTCTGGACCAGCTCCGCGACCCGCGAGAAGCACGAGCTGCAGTGCCAGCTGGCGTTGCCCAGGTCGAGACCGGTCGGGTTCCCGGCGCTCTGCATGCGCAGGTCCTCGGGGAGGATGGTCCGCTCCAGCCCGGCGTAGACGGTCGCCTGCGGGTGGTGCCAATCGCCGCCGACGTGGTGCCACTGAAACGAATAGTAGTAGAAGCGACTGCGGAGGGTGACCCGTGGCGGGGTGACGCAGTTGCGGAGCAGGGTTAGCGTCTCTGGCCGCGGGATCTCGTCGGTGTCCGAGACGAGCAGGATGTCGTCCGCGTTGGGGCGCGCGGCGCCGAGTAAGGAGGGGAAGATTGCGGTGAACAGGGCATTGCGCGTGTAGACCTCGCGCTCCCAGGTGCTATTGTGACGTAAGGGAGCGAGGTCCAGCGCATGGTAGAGGATCTTGGGCGCAAACCGGGAGAAGTTGGCGTAGTGGTTCGCAAAGTGCAGGGGCTTCGGCTGCCCCGTGAAGGTCTCGGTGGACTCGACGATCACAAAGTAATCCACTTGGCTGTCTAACTCATGCATACGGATCTCAAGCCAGTCCAGCTCCGTGCTGAAGGGGATCAAGTCGTAGATCTTACGGCCCTGGGTGCGCTCGCGCCACGGCCGGAGATCGTGTTGCGCGCAAAGGGCTTCCGCTTCGGCTTCGGGGAGGTAGTCGTGGTGGTGGGGATCCGGAAGGATGGCGGCGGGAACAGCATCATTAGCTGAGAGTGAGGATGGAGGGATCAGCAGGTAGGGTCTAAGTAGGAGGCATGTTGTGGTTAGTAGCGCGGAGAGGAGAAGTGTTTGCTGTAGTCGTTTGCTGGACATTCTGGAGAGTGGTCGGGGGATACGGTGAACAATGCCCTTGAACGCGTTCCTCTCAGAACTCATTTCATGAGGAGAAGAATAAGAAGGCATCTGTAGGTTTGGGGAATCCCTTCGCAGTGAATGCGATTTGTAGAGGCGGCTTGAGAGGGGATGTAATACGACAAGACAGTGCGAACTAATCTATACACATGCAAGGCAGAGTGTAGTGCGCGCGATGGGCCGTTAGCACTCAAATGTGGACTTATTTCAATTGAGCCTAGTAAAGTCAATGAAGAGGCAGTAGGTTTCGTTCGGACCCATCCCAGGAAGCTTTTTTGGATCCAGAGAGGACGTGTCTAGATCCCTCAGCATCGGATGATTGATTACTGATCGGCGGGGCACCAATCACTCTTCCAGTGTATACGACAGCGAACTTGGATTGCGATCACGATGCTAGATAACAGTGCTCGTGTGATCGTCTTTGGGGATGACAAGCATGTCCTGGCCACCTGTTACGCTGGTCGAGACCTCGGTCCGAGTAAGTTTACGAAGCCGCGCTGGTTCCGTGGTTAGGGCTCATCCCGGTTCGAGTTAAGAGCTTACATGCGCTGATCACTGGAGTCATGACATCGAAGTTTCTTTGTCGGATTGTCTCTCGGAGCTTTAAGCTCGCGGAACGAAAGCTTATATTCCCACGGTACTCGATGGGATCGAGATGGAGGATCTGCAAGATAAGCATGAATTCAAATCCGCGGTCTTTAACACAGAGCGCATCATACGGTTGCCACTTCCGCAGTTGGGCGAAAATACTGTACCAGTTTTCTCACCGCTAATCGCCATTGGTTCTCCTTTTCGTTGGACTTTGGGACTACCTACCGAGTAGTACTTGGCTACTATTATTTGGGGTGCGATGTAGTTAGTCACTGTGGGGTAGAGCATTTTCACGAGGGGGGGGGGGCACTACTACTGAAGTTGATTCCACATTTCCCCTTCCAACAAAGAAGAAGATAGTAATGATAATCAATATAATGGGAAAAGGAAAAAGGAAAATCAAGAAAAATCAAGAAAACTCAAAGAAAAGAAAGAAGCAAGGAGGAAGTTGAGATTTGGTTTGGTTACCTTGACTGTATATGCCATCAGCTGCGTCTTGCAATCCTTGTAGAGTCTAACAACTGCTCCTATGAACTTCGAGAACTGTATCGCACGCTAAAAGAATTCTGAACCATCATGCACCATTGCCATCTGATTCGATCGTGGTGTACAAAGTACCCATATCCTGCCATCCCACGATGTGCAAAGCAAACTATCGAGCATCGCCCTTGTGCATGGCCGCGGTGTAGAGAACAATGCCCAGCACCGCCAGCAACACACCCAGAACACTCTCCGTCGCCATCGCCGTCGAGCTCCGCATCCAGCCCAGCGCAATGACGAGGCACGTCTTCAACTGCCCCACCACTGTACTGGTCACTGCGCCCGCGCCATTGATTACGTGGAAAGACGAGAGGTTGATCAAGCATGCACACCCGCCACTCAGTAATAAAAGACCCCATTGGTGGGGGTGGATCGTGGCCCAGACCGGAAACGAATCGGTGACCAGCGAGATGCTGCCGATGAAGACCGCACAGAAAGGGGCTTGCCGGTAGAGGAGCTGAATGCTCGAGATGTTGAGACGCGAGTGGTAGTGCGCCACCCAGACGGTGTACAGCGCGGAGCAGAAGACGCCGCTGAATGCGTAGATAATCCCCAGGGCAGAGGTCGAGTCCATGACCCCCGGGCTTGAAGGGAGGGATCGCTGGCGGGGGAGCAGGTCGGCGTAAGTCACGAGCCCCACGCCGAGACAGGCGGGCACAAGCGCAATAGCCGCGTGAAGAGGGATCTTGGAGTTGTAGAAAAAGAGGTTGATGAGCACGGTCAGTGGGGTGAGGAGGATGCGGACGATCTGGTAGCAGACGATCGAGCTGTAGGCCAGTGACAGGTTCATCAGGATGATGTTGGCGCACATGATCAGCGAGAGGGGCAGAATCTTCATCAGGGGGGTTTCTGTGGGCGTGATCTTCAGGATCGAGACTCGTCGCACAATGAACAGAAGAATCCCGGTGATGGTGAAGTGATATGCAACGAAGCTGAAATGGCACTTGGCGAAGGCAGGATCCGAGAAGATGGACTTGTTGATGTATACCTGGTTCGTCAGCTAATGACTCTCTCTCTCGATCTCTCTTTTCTCTTCATCGCTGTGTAACTTGAGGACGGCATCTAGGCCGGACTGGCACTCACAATTGCAACGGTTGCGATAATATTGATGACTATCCAGACTGGTGTGTGCTTGCTTGTCTCCGTCCGCCCGGCATCTTCGGGACTTGGAGGTGGAGACAGCGCCGGTCCGATCTCAATATGCTTTTCTTTCTCCATAGAAGATATTCGTTCGCGAAGAATAGTATCCCGAAATTGAGGGGTGAAATGGCAGGGGGTCAAGGATAGATTGATGCCAGGCGAGTGAGAGGAAACGCGAGTGTGTTATGTTGTCGCATCTACTATGAATTCATCAAGAAAAGCATGAGCTGTGAGGTAATTGACTCCGTATCCGATCGGTGTCTTCTGTGTGAAAGGTTTAGGTTCTGTAATCCATGGGACTTATCTGATGAAACCCGCCCCTGAATGTTGGCCGTGATCTTTTAGTTTCTTTGTCGCAAAAGGAATCTAGACCGGCCAGCCGACCAAACTGTCTTCGTGGGGATCGAAAGCATATTATTCGGACCGTCGGTTTACCCACGGATCAAGATCTTTACCTTTCGTATCCGAGCTACATGCTCTGAGCATAGATGAATTTATCATTCAGGTAGGCGAGCTGATAGCATTAGCGTACACGATTGATAGCGTCTCGAAGGCTTGTCGCCTGTCATTTTTCGTAGGGTAGAATGTAACATCTCCACCACGCACATTCCCTGCTTCGAGTCCCCGCACATCATAAACTATATCGCACGTCGTCGGGGGTTACGCTGGAATTGACTAGGCGGTTCGAATGCGCAAGGGCTGCAATTATATAGGTTAAGCAATTGTCAGTGTTATTGGTATATCGAGTTGTCCTTCCTTCTGACTGCACTAGTAAGTAGTCACTAACTTCCACAAGACTCCTAATATGACTAAGCATGGATATTGAAGTAAATGTGGATTATGAAAACAGGGCTACCAGACCTTTTCTCCAAGTATCTAGTTCCGTAGACTTCGGCTTCACATGATGGAGGCCTCTAATCAACTATTAGAATAGTCACATCTTTGGCATCCACGAGAAAGGGAGGAGGTTTGTTGGAAATTGAGAAGACATGTACATCATCTGCAACAGATTGGATCAGTAATAAAGCTGTGATTCTTGCTCCCTTCTCATTTTTCCTGAATTTTACTTCACTTCACCTGGCGCCTAAAATTATCTCATAAAGAGACGCCAGGCCGCCATCCAGAAAGGCGTTCCTTCACAGAATGAAAATGCACAACTACGAGACCATCAAACCTAAAACGTACTTGCGTAGATAGATCGGTCGTTAAAATGGCGATAGATAAGAACAGTAAGCACCGGTTGTGCGGCGGCTATCCAAATGTGGTAGTTGAAACGAGATATGGCATAGAAGCAATGCTAGTCTCACAAGGGATTGATCAAAAGGAAGGACTTGAGGCTGATCGAAATATCGAAATAGGGAGGAAACTTACTATAGTGCTATCTCCTGAACACGAGGAGCTCGATTAGCGGCCATATTACCTAGAGACCCAGCCTAGAAAGACTATTTTCTCATACCACCTTACCCTCCAAGGCCACTCCACGGGACCATATTAGAGTATTTTTCGCTAGCTAGACAGTTCAGAACACCGCATGAAGACATAAAAGAGCACGAATCAAAATCTTCACTCATGATATGACAAAACCGATTCCCACGAGCCCGTTCCCCTCACCGTTGGGCTCGAATATGTTCAGGCTCATTGGAATTCTGCATAGTCCATTTGACAGTCACTGTACTTGCATGAACAGAGTTTTCCTGCCGTATCGCAGTACTCCCCCGTTGCATTTCCCAGCTTGAACCGCAGAAGATGGCGATCATAGCCAACTTGTGCGTTGGTTCCCTTGGCTTGCTTTGTCCAATCCATATCTTCTTCCAGATCCGGGACTTGACCCACATGTTCCATGCCTTCTAATTCTCGAAGCCATCCATACTTTGCCCATACCAACTCTGATAAAATGTGATGCGTCTTATACTGATGGATGGCAACTTGCACCTCACCGTTCTCGTTCAAAACCTCCCCCCAATCATTGAATCTCACCATAGGCGTCGTCCCCACTGTACCTAGCAAGGCATCTGCATTTGGAACCAGCTCCGATTGACCAACTCCAGCTTGCCTGAGCTCGGTATCCAAGATCCCGGAATAGAAAATGTGAATGTGAGTTGCTTGATCGTTGCATTGGTACTTACTCTTCGTCAACTCTGCAACCATCGTCCGTAAGTAGATCGATATTGCGCGGGAAGTGCCGTACGTAGTTCCCGCACATATTCGGTCCAGTGTGTTATATCTATCTGCGTCCTCGCGGGATAGATATGGTGGATCCAAGGCTTTAGAGCAACCATCGAACCACCGTTGATGCACATTGCATTGTCCGATTTTGAGGCCGCGCCACTCAGCGAAAAGGAGAAGTTCAACGCCTGGGGGTGTGGTCTGGGAGAGAGTGAATGGATTCCTTTGGAACACGACATCCAAATCACAGACCAGAACGTTGTCGAAATATTCTCCTGTGTTGTTGTGGAGCACCGCGCTGAGCCCTTGAAAGCGGCGGGCAACAACGGGAATGTCTGAATCTGGAAGAGCGCCAACAAATGAGAGGAAAGGGTAACGGCGCATTAATATCTGAAATCCTGGCGGTGGGTGGTCCGCAACCTCTGCAGGGACAATAATCTTGACTTCAACGAGTAAAGGCTGACAGGAAGTAGTCGTCATTCCGCCATCTTGCTGTTCGTTTTGGCATCGGGTAATATCAAGTGCGTCTCTTCCCAAAGCAACGTCGAGAGACTCCATGAAAATGAAAATTTGGTCTTGCCATTTTGCACCGTCCAGAGCGGACAAGATAAGATTCTTGCGGGGGGAAACCGCATCGGGCGGGATCGATTGCAAACGTGACCGGATTGAACTTGTGTTCGGAAAATAATTGAAAATGACGGAGAGGATGGCCAATACAGCCAGAACAACTCTGAAGAATTTCGTATGGAAGATCCGACCAAATCTTCCCGCAGTTAAGCTTAGGCAACGCATGCTTCGCACCTGACCAGATGGTTGAGTTACACAATCCAAGATCTGGCCCAGATATATACTAGGTAGCCTGCCAGCATCACCCGGTATATCTGAGTTAGATCCCGCCGGAAAGGAATACCCTGTGAAGTAGGCCTAAAAATGACATCAACGACTTGGCAGAAACAAACAAAAAAGTCTAGAACAGGTGATATGTCCTTTCTAGATCGCATTAAATCCCGATTAAACGAGGAATCATAAAGTCATGCTGATGAGGAACATTGGCACAGCTTGTCCAAATTCAGGATCTCTAATTACCCGGTTCTCGTGCTCACTGAGGCACGTTGCCTTGGGTTGCTTGGATTAGCTCGCTACACAACACAAACAATATGATAGGAAAAAATACACCAAGCAGAATAATAAACGCATATTCTATATAATCTAATAGGAAATTTTCGGACTTGTTCCCAACTGGGTAAGTCTAATCCCTGTCCACGGTCACTCAACCTGCAGTCAGCATGGACGATTCGGCCCCAAAAGGACACTGCGTCGCTCACGGAATCTTTTCTCCGGTTACATAGGTATTGTGCCTATTGTATGTACAATGCGTAGCCAAGACTAATCGACACGAGTGCAGTGCTGGTCAGCGGTTGAGCTGGATGCCGCTTGATGGTTACGCCCTCTCGACATACCGCCGCAATGTTCCCCAGCCCTTCCAGCACCCTACCCCAAGCTCCTTCAGTCAACTCGAGCCATCCATCCCTTATACGCAGATGTAACGTTGATCTCGCTTAATTTCAAGACCAAGACCACTCTTTTTCATTAAAGACCAAGGTCCGCCCGCTGCACTTGCCGCACAATGGCCGATCCGCCATCGGATGAGGGTACAGCCCGTAGTCAGGATAAAAGAGACATGTCAAGCATCGAAGAGGTTAGTACCCAGAGGAGAGAGTTTTATCATCACAATGAAGACTCCTGAGCAGAGAGCAACCAACGCTAAATCGACATAAAAGCTAGCAACTAATTCTAACGCAACCATCCCCCAAAAGTCACGCCTCCATCTCAATCCCCTCCTCCTTCTTCTCCTTCTTCACACTCCTCCACCCAACCCCCCACGCGAACACAAACTGCGCCACCGACAACGCCGTCGTCAAATAGAACACCTGATCCACGCTCTTGGCGAACGCGCGCACCACCGCCGGCAAGTCCTCCGACGACACCACCGCCCGGAACCCCGTGGCGCCCGCCTGGATGACCCCCGCCGCGTCGACGCCCGCCGCATACCGCGGGATCTCCGTGCGCAGCGCCTGCGCGAAGATCACCTCCGCCACCGCCAGGAAGATCGCGCCGCCGAACGTCTGCGCGCAGGTCATCATCGCCATCGCCGTGGAGACGTCGTCGCCTTGCACTGCGTTCTGGATGGCGATCATTGGCTTGACTGTCTGTTAGCTTGGCTGGAGGGAGTGTGGTTTGGGGAGAGGAGAGGAGGAAGGACTCACAACTTGCGAGATCGCGCCGCGCCCGAATCCCACCAGCGCCTGGTATCCCGCCCACTTGGGGACGGAGGTGTGCGGGCCCAGGGTCGAGAGGAGGCCGTTGCCCACGGAGTCGAGGATGGCGCCCAGCACGCCCCAGGGGAGGTAGTAGCCCAGTTTCGAGGCTGGGAGGGTTCATTGTTAGCTTTGCTGCGTCGTCCACAGAAGGAGTGAATGATGAAAGGGCTACAGGGGAGGAACGTACTCAAAACCCCCGACACAACCGCCATCACCAACTGACACAGGATATTCGGCAGCAGGTTCACCCCGCTCACCAGCGCGGACTTGCCCCGCACCGACTGGAAGTAGATGGGCAGGTAGTACGACAGCGTCATCGTGAACCCGAAGATCACCATCGACAGCAGGCTGCTGCACAGCACGATCTGGTCGCACACCAGGTGGCCGGGGATCATCGCCTCGGCGCCCATCCGCCGCTCCCACAGCGCAAACACTCCGAACGTGACCCCCGACCCGACGAACAGCCCGATCACCGTCGCGCTGTCCCACGCGTAGCTGTTGCCGCCGTACTGCAGGGCCAGCAGCAGCATGATCGACGCCGGCGCGAAGAGCACGAACCCCACCAGGTCGAATTTCTGCAGGAAGAGCGACTGCAGCACTTCCCGCGCCGGGGGTTTGGGTTTCTGGTCTGGGATGCGGGTGAAGAGGAGGAGGGCGCCGACTAACGCGCCGATGGGCAGGTTCATGTAGAAGCCTATGTCGGGGCAGAGTGTTAGTGTATGTTGTGGTTTGCGATGGAAAGAAGGGATGATCCGAACTTACACCACCGCCAGGTCGAGTAGGTGGTAAACGCACCACCGACTAACGGCCCGCCGACGAGGCCGAGCTGTCCCACTGCGAGTCATCATTAGTCAATTACTCGTATTCTTCCTGCAGTAATCAGAACGAAGAGAGAAAGGGGTACACACCCCCCATGATCACCCCGATCATCGCCGGCCGCTTCTTGTTCGGCACCGCCCCGGCCAGGATGTTCAGCGCCCCGTTCAGCATCCCCGACGACCCCATCCCGGCCACCGCGCGCCCGATGATCAGCATCTTGGACGAGGTGGCCACCCCGCAGATCAGGGAGCCCAGCTCGAACAGCCCGAAGAAGGAGAGGAAGGTCCACTTCGAGGAGAAGTAGGTGTAGAACTTGCCGGTGAGGGGTTGCAGGGCGGCGCTTTCTCGTGTCCCGGGTGTTAGCTAAATAGCATAACATAGGGCAGGGCTATACGGAGGGCACCGAGGGGATGTCCTACCTGGAGATCGTATACGCGCTACCGTACCAGGCCACATCCTCGAGGGAATTGAACTGACTCGTGATCTTGGGAATTGCCTGTTCCCCATCAAAACCATAATGTCAGTATTTCCGCTTTTCGTTCTGAGTGCATCTTCCTCGTGGTTCAAGCAAGGGGGTGATGTGATCGGGAATGGCCCACCGTCGACACAATCGACACATCCAACAACATCAGAAACACGACCAGCGTGATCCCCGCGATCACCATCACCAGCGTCAACCCGTGCACCCATTCCGGCTCGTACTCGTCTTTCGGGTGGATGGGTTTCTTCTCGTCGTGATGCTCCGGCTCCGGTTCCCACGGGGTGGGGTTGGAGCCCAGCAGATGCGGTCGGCTGCTGGTGCTGGTGCTGTCTTGGCTCATCGTGGCGGCGTGAAGGCTTTTCGAGGAACGGGGTTTCTCGAGGGTATGTGCCATGTTGAGCTCTGTGTAGAGGAGTAATGAGTAGGCACCTAATGAACTTACATGAAGGTAGGATGGGAGGGCTTGTTTTAAGTATTGGGGCCGGAGACGGTTTTGGTGATTCCCGTCTCCGGACGCCGGGTTGTTTTGGCGCTGGCGCTGTCGAACGCCGGTTCTCCCGCTGCGAATGCCGGTCCTTGCTAGTAGGCACTGCAGTCAACGCCGCATCCCTTGTTTGCTGCCACCGGTCGGAGATCTCCCCATTTAGGAATTCACCGAGCAAAGGAGTCGAGCATCGATCCTCTTCAAATACACGTGTTGATTCGACGATGATCCAGCGATAGGATGGCTGGCTGTTTTTTGTGGGAAGAATGGAACAGGGCGAACCGCGCCGGTCTCGGGCGTGGCTTACAGCGTGGTAAAGGTGCACGAATTGACTGCTATATTTGTGCTTTCAATCCTGTAAGCTCTGATTCTGGATAATGCTTTTGAAGTCCCTGGGAGAGCCCTGAAGATATCACCCAATGCAAATGTGGTAAAGGTGAACAAGCGATTCGGAGATGGAAGGCGTAATCATATATCCAACAACCTAGCCGGGTATCAGAAGCGCTCTGCGCCACCACCTTATCCTACAAGTATAAATGAACAAGAGCGACATAAACAAAGACATCATAGCTCGATAGACCGAATGTATACCACTACGACCAAGAAGAAAACCCGCCCGCCCCGTTCCCCTCGGTCAACCACGCCATCTCCGACCAGCTCAGGAAACTATCCAGATCGCCCATCTCCATGCTCGACGCAAACCCCTCCCCACCCCCACCACCGCGATCGACCACCACCCCGGGACACTCGGGCAGCCGCACCGCCCACTCGCTCCGCAGCTTCTGCATCATCATCCCCAGCTTGCTGAACGGATCGCCGAGCGCCCCGTCGCTGCGCATCCCGACCGCCGCGGCCACCTGGCTCATGCGCGTGGCGATCTGCTCCGCGACCACCAAGAGGTCCACCGTGCCTTTCACCGCCGCCTTGTCCCAGCCCGGGTAGTCCAGGGTCGAGAGCCGGAAGAGGGTCACCAGGCAGTGCGACACCTGGGTGAGATAGGGCAGCGCCAGGGAGGTGTATTCCGCCGGAGCGATGGTGAAGAAGAGGTCGAAGAACTGCTTGACCACGTGCAGGCAGGCGTACAGATGGCCGAGTCGCTGGCTGCTCATCTCCTCGTCGGGCGGGGGCTTGACGAGGGCGACCTCGTAGAGGCTGATTTCGGTGTCGTAGAGATGGAATAGGATGGGTTCTGGGTGCCGGTTAGTCTCTGCTGTGCTGGTTTATAGTGGTTCCCGGGAGATTGCACGTACTGTTGTCGGCCAGGGGAATGGGCATCTCGACTTTGATCGTCTCCAGCCGCGACTCGAATGCCTTGAGATGGAAGGCGGCGAGCGCCTGGGTCGGATGCAGGCCGTATACGCCCTCACTCCAGGGCCCCTGCAGGATCTGGTCTGCGAGGAGTCGCGTGCGCGTGATCTGCACCAGGACGCCGTCACCGGGCGATTCGTCGCTTTGCGCGAGGATCTCGAGACACTCGTTCATGTGCGGCGTCCATCGCAGCGGGTCCATTCGCCCGAGAAACTGCGCGATCCTGTGCTGGGTCAGTCACTCGGCCAGTGTTGCAGTGTGGTGGAACGTACATGGAAGTCAGCACAAAGCAGCTCAAGACTGCGCGGCGTTCGTTCATCGTGCGGCGCGTCGAGATGGACGCTTTCAGCCCCGGCATGTGGCCCACGGCATTGCTGTTGGAGACGGTCATGCTCAGGTCTGGCGGCGCGGGCTTGTTGAGTCCCAGCTCAAAGACCAGGCCGATCGCCATCTGGGCATAGATGCATAGCGATGACTTTTGCGGCTGGCTGTGGAACGTGACCCTGCAATCGGTCAGCGATGGACTTACACAGACCCCGGAGAAAAGAGATACCAGGCGAGATAGACCAGGACCCCCTGCAACAAGTCCAGGGACTTATCGCAGTCGACCAACAGGCGTTTGCCCGCCAGCTCGCGGATGGTGACACACAAGGCGGCTTGCCGGGCGGCATGCTTGCTCTCCACCGCAGTGATACACCGCCACAGGAACGGGGACTGGTGTTTCAGGTCTTGCGCAGTAGCTGTGGCGGGGATGTGTATCAAGGGGAGGAATTGCAGTCGATGTATACGGAAGGCATGCAGAGCCTCTTCTTCCTCTGCTGGCGTGTCGACGAGGTCTTCGCGTTCGGGGGAGGATGTTTCGGCCTCAGGCTCTGGGTGAGGGTCTGCGGGGAGCGGAGTCGGCGTCTGCAGTCCGGCCCGACCGGCGGCACCGGAGGAGGTCAGCAGCATCATCAGCCCATCCATTTTCCGTTCCAGCTGGACCGTCTTGGACAGAGGGCGCGTCTTACGACGACCCTCGGGGATGCGACATTCTTTGTTGAGACGGTGGCATCTGTGGTGTTTGAATCATCTTGTCAATGGTGATTGTTGATATTGAGGTTGATGTTACTGTCAACTGGACGGACTTTTGACCCACCTTTCACAGCGGCCGCCCGCACTCCGGGGTACGCATCGACACTTGGCACGAGCACAGGTGGCACACGCATTGCCATAGGGTAAGGGGGAGCGTATGGCGGATTCCATCATGAGACGCAGATCTTGCTGGGCTCACATAACATGGAAAGGGAAAGGGGGCAAAGAAAGAGGAAGCGGAGGAGGGGGAGGAATAGGAGGGAGAAAGTGGAAATGGAGAGGGAGCGGACACGGCGTTGGGCCAACCCCGGTTGACACGTGACCTCTCCTGCCTACCCGACATATTACAGATTAATTCACAGATTCAACTTACAGATTGATTTGATTTGAGTCATATGATCTGTGGAGAATGCTGGTCGACTATTCCATTCTATCTCTCTCACCACTCTGCAGGTAGTTTGTTGAGTGTTTGGCTGACTCCGGCCACTCCATCTGTTGACAGTCCTGTACTGTAACTACATCTACTGTAGTTACATGCAGCCTCACATAGATTTACGCTTACCATCCAACCTTATCATGCCCTCTCACCACACCGATCAAGAGAAGAGCAGTCCAGTAGCCAACTCACTCCCTTAACGGACAAGTCAGCCATCTCCGCTCCTTTCTTCAAGATCTCCGACCGTAATAAGTCTACTATTGGTGGTGAGTCCGAAGGATGCGGCCCCCAGCGCTGGGCGACCGGAGTCTAGCCTTGGAGCCTTACTGCCTTAGGGCTGGCTCCCACCCGTTTCCTCTGCTATAGAAAAACTTCCCCTGCAGCTCCTGCTCAATGCTCAATCTACCTTATCGTGCATCCATCGCCTAGTTTCATCTCCTCGAGAATGTCGGAGACCCACGACTCATCTTCTACCGCCTCCAGCTTGGAGAAGGGCCCGCAGCCCCCTCACACTGGCGACGCCGGCGACTCGGAAACCAGTCACTCGGTGGAAGATGCCAGCCCGACTGCCGCGTCGCCCCCCAAGAAACAGGGAACCAAGGCCTGGTTGGCACTGACTGGTGGTGTTCTGGGCATGTTCGCCTCCTTTGGCTGGGTCAACTGCGTTGCGGTCTTCCAGGCTGAGTACGAGCTGAACCAGCTGCGTGACTATTCCAGTTCGCAGGTCTCCTGGATCTCTTCGGTGCTCTGTATGTTGTTGGCCTTCAACTCTCACAAACACATCATCTCTAACAGGCTTCAGTCTTCTTCATGCTCGGATTCTCCCCGGTGGCCGGCCGACTGTACGACGGCCATGGCCCGCGTCTCCCCATCGTCATCGGCACCTTCCTGCACGTCTTCGGCCTCATGATGGCCAGCCTGTCCACCAAATACTACCAGTTCATCCTCAGCCAGTCCGTGTGCTCTGGACTCGGCACCTCGCTGATTATCACTCCGTCCATGACCGCCGTAAGTGGCCCAGTCCAGCCTCTGCCCCCTGATCCCGCCACCACACAACTCATACTTCTTCCAAGCCCATGACCTACTTCCACGACCGCCGCGCCCTGGCCGGAGGATTCGCCATCGCCGGCTCCTCGCTGGGCGGCGTCATCTTCCCCTTCATGGTCAACCACCTGCTCTCGTCGATCGGATTCGCCTGGACGATGCGCGCCTGCGCGTTCCTGATCCTCGGCCTGCTGCTCGTCACCTGCACGCTCATCTCGTCCAACGCCACCCACAGCCCGAAGGAGTTCAAGCTCAGCCACTACCTGCGGCCGTTGAAGGAGGTGAACTTCTTGCTGATGTGCATCGCCAGCTTCTTCATGTACTGTACGTTGTCTCCCCAACACCATCCGAAGATCAGACAACAGATAAAATCTGACAACCCAAAAAGGGGGCATGTTCGTCCCCTACGTGTTCATGGTAATCTCCTCCATCCACTACGGCATGTCCGTGACGATGGGCTACAATCTGATCCCCATCCAAAACGGTGTAAGGTATGTTGCAGTCAGCCCCTCGAACCCCCTTGCCCACCGCACAATAAACTGACAATCCACGTGGGGAAGCTTCTTCGGCCGCACCGTCCCCCAGATCTGGGCCCGCAAGTACGGCCAATTCAACGTCTTCATCCTGGCGATGGTCGCCTCGATCGTCGTCGTGCTCGCCTCCTGGCTCCCCTCGCGCGGCAACGCCGCCCTCATCGTCTTCACCATCCTGTTCGGGTTTGTGTCGGGCACCACCATCGGCCTGGGCCCCATGCTCGTCATGGCGCTGTCCCCGCCCACGGAGATCGGCTACCGGGTCGGCACGGTGTTCGCGGTGGCCGGGTTGGGGGCGCTGACGAGTCCCCCCATCGCGGGCGTGTTGATCACCCGGAATGGCGGGGACTATGTGTACGCGGCGGTGTTTAGTGGGGTGGCGTATGCGGTGTCGACGGTGGTGATGGTTATTCTGAGGGTGAGGATTGGGGGGTGGGGGTTCTTGTCGAAGGTTTAGTTAGGGGTGGTTTTGGGGATTTTGGGGAGGGGGTTGGTTCGGGGCTTGGGCGGTGGGGGAGGAGGGAGAGGTAGAGTTGCGGTTTTGAGGTTTATGTCTTCTTACATTCGGGATATTATATAAAAAGGTTAGATTATGGTTTATCTCATATGATGGTGGATCAAAACTAAAGTTCCCGGTGCAAATGCCCGTATGGTGAGATTGTGTCGTTGACATCGATTCTACAATATCTTACAGTATACCGAGCGACAGATGCAAAGCACAAATGTTCCACACTGCCCTTAGATCTACTGTACTGTACAGTAGTATGTCATCATACACTGATACATTGACTATAGACTATTCACTACTTCTACTCGCCCGCCCCGAACTACAAATTGGACACAAGTTAGAACAGAACAGATACTATTCCCCTCCGAACCTACCAAACTAGCGACAACAAACAAAAGACCATAGGACAAACTAAACTCCAACCATAAACCAACCCCCCCC